GTGTGTGTGTGTGTGTGTGTGTGTGTGTGTGTGTGTGTGTGTGCGTGTGTGCGTGCGCGTGTGCGTGTGTGCGTGCGTGCTCCTGAGAAGCCCCGCCGCCTTCTGAGAAGGCCTCCTCCTCCTCACGTACCCCCCTGGGCGCGCCGCCGAGGCACGATCGAAAGGGGCACGGAAGACGTCAGCGCGATGTCCCACAACCAATGTTGGCCAAAACCGGCAGCGGCCGCTGCTGGGCAGGCGGCCCCCCATCTCAAATGGACGACGTCCGCGGCGACACGGACAGCGAGTCCGATTCAAAATGATCGGGACATGTTGTGCGTGCGTGCGTGCCTGAGTGCGTACGTGCGTGCGTCCGGGGGGCGCGGCGGCAGCGCGGCGCGAGCCTGCTCTTGCTGTCGCCAGGTACTTCGGGCGCGCCCGTCGGCCAGGCCGCCAGCCGTGCGGCACCCCTCAGAGGCCCCGCGGGGGCCGGGAAGATCAGGTGCCCCGAGGGATCGAGGGGTCGAGGGGTCGAGGATCGAGGATCGAGCTTTCGAAGATCGAGGTTCGACGATTTGGTTTTGACGTGGTCTTGTACATCTCTGCAAAATCAGGTTGTCTCTCTTCGCCACGGCTGGATTCCCTCTGACATTCTGGCGCGTGAGAATCGAGGCTTGAGCATCGAACCGGGGTTTCGCAATTTTCGGCATCTGCTGGGTCGGTTCGGGCCCCGCGGTCGTCAAGCATCCTCCCGAGGGAAAGAGCCGGCCAGGGTGGACCCTGGGATGAAGCAGATGCCCCAGTGCCCGAGCACCGGAGGTCGCGGCTCCAAGACGTCAGCGCCGTCTCCTCGAGTCGTGCGCTTCGCAGGATCGTGACTCCGAGCAGCGATGGGCTCGAGCATCGAGGATATCCGCAGACGGCACCCATACGCCACCCTGCCGGGCCAGGGCCACCCTGCCCCCCCCCTCCCTGCTGATGCGAATCAGAGAAGAAGAAAAACGGCACAAGCATAAACTTGTGGCGCTCCGCGCGGATTTCTTGGATCCGCGTTGGGCCCCCCCCGGCGGCGCCTCCGGCGCTGCCCCTGGCGCGCTCCGCGCGTCAGGGAGAGGGCTTCCAGCGCAGATCCAAGAAGTCCGCGCGGAGCGCCAGAAGCTTATGTTTATGCCGTTTTGTCTTCTTCCAGTGAAGTCCCTCCTGGCCTCGGTCGGGAGGGCGCGTGCTCCTCTGGAGGTCTCGGGGTTGCTTTCGGTCGGGCACGTCCCTCTACAGGAGGAATCTTCAAAAACAGTTGAACAACAGTCGGGGGACGATTTGCGGCTGCCTCGGCCAACGCTAGGACGGCCGTCGGTGAGCTGCCCATACCACCCCCCCCCCACCTCCAACGGAGAAACTCACCCGTCCCTCCGCCACAAGAGTGGGTAGGTGAATCCCCTCGCGCATGGGCAAGAAGCTCGAACCCTGCGGCGCCATGGATACCCCGCTCCCTGGACCCCCGAACCTCTTTATGGAGGGTGCGGCGATGGAGAGGGCATTGGTGGACAGAACTATTCGAGCCTCCAGATCACCACCCACTCTAAAACATCATCATTGATTCCGGGGCGGGGGGGGAAGAACATCCTCCTCTCAAGTGTGTGAGGGTTCGAATCGTTTGTCCACGTGCTGTCCTTCTACTGCTCCTCCTGCTCTTCGTCCAGGAAAGGGGGATGAAAATGATGATGATGCTGCTGATGATGATGATGCTTATGATGATGATGATGATGATGATGATGATGATGATGATGATGATGATGATGATGATGATGATGATGATGATGATGATGATGATGATGATGATGATGCTGATGATGATGATGATGATGATGATGATTGATGATGATGCTGATGCTGCTGCTGATGATGCTGCTACTGATGATGATGATGATGATGATGATGATGATGATGAGATGATGATGACGACGATAACGACGATGATGCTGATGATGCTTATGATGACGAGGCTCATGATCATGGTGCTGATGCCGATGGTGATGCTGATGCTGATGCCGATGATGATGCTGATGATGATGCTGATGCTGATGCTGATGCTGATGATGATGATGATGATGATGATGATGATGATGATGATGATGATGATGATGATGATGATGATGATGATGATGACGATGACGATGGTGGTGGTGATGATGAATGATGATGATGATGCTGTGATGATGATGATGATGATGATGATGATGATGATGATGATGATGATGATGATGATGATGATGATGATGATGATGATGATGATGATGATGATGATGATGAGGTGCTGATGATGCTGATGTTGGTGATGATGATGATGATGAGGAGGAGAGGAGGAGGCGGAGGATGAGGATGTGGGAGGATGAGGAGGAGGAGGAGGAGGATCAGGAGGGAGAGGAGGGGGAGGAGGAGGAGGAGGAGGGGGAGGAGGAGGAGGAGGAGGAGGAGGAGGAGGAGGAGGAAGAGTGAACCCGAGAATCATCAACGATGTTGGAATAAGCCCTCCCTCCAAACTTCCCCTGCATAGGCCCCTACGACGGTTTATTTCCATTGCGGGAGTAGCCTCGTCGGAAGACAACCGTTTGAAGACTCTGAAGCATGCCAACACATGGTTCTCGGGATTCCAACGCCACGGATCAACCTGAGTGTGGCGTCTTGACGAAGAAGGAGGAGGAGGAGGAGGAGGAGGAAAATGAGGAGGAGGAGGAGGAGGACGAGGCGGACGATGAGGGTGAGGAGTAGGAGAGGAGGAGGAGGAGGAGGAGGAGGAGGAGGAGGAGGAGGAGGACGAGGCGGACGATGAGGGTGGAGGAGTGGAGGAGGAGGAGGAGGAGGAGGAGGAGGAGGAGGGAGGAGGAGGAGGGGAGGAGGAGGAGGGAGGAGGAGGAGGAGGAGGAGGATGAGGAGGAGGAGGAGGAGGAGGAGGAGGAGGCGTCGCCCCTTGGGGCCCTGCCGCCAGGGGCTTCGCTGGCATGTCGCGGGCGGCGGGCGGGCTCCTCGCCGACCGCGAGGGGGAGGGCCTGGCCCTGGCCCGGAAGACGAGCGGGCTCCTCGACGACCACGAGGGGGATGCCGACCAGGCTCGGCCAGCGCGCGCGGGGGGGGAAGGGGGGCTCCTCCTCGATCCTCGAGCCTCCGCGATCCTTCTCCCCGAGCCGCCCCCCCCTCGATGCTCCCCCTCTTCGATCCTCCGCCTCCTCCTCCTCCTCCTAGATCCTCCTCCTCCTCCTCCTCCTCCTCCTCCTCCTCCTCCTCCTGCTACTTCTCTTTCTCGATTCTCGATCCTCCTCCTCCTCCTCCTCCTCCTCCTCCTGCTCCTCCTCCTCTTAAGCGGGGCTTCTTGGAGGCGCCCTTCTCGGCGAGGGCGATGCCTCCGACCCTTTCGTTGGAGCCCCGTTCCTGCTCCGCCTGCTCCTGCTCCTCCTCCTCCTGCTGCTCCTCCTCCTCCTCCTCCTTCCTCCCTCATCCCTCCTCGCGCCCGGCCTTCGGGACAAGGCCGTCCCGGAGGCCGGGCGCGGCCACAGAAGGCTTGTTTTCCCTTCGGCCTGGGTCAGGGGCTGCGGATCGCAGGCTGGGGGTGGATAAGCGCGCCCAAGAGGCCTCCGGAAACGAGCCCCAGTGAAGGGGTCGAGACTTCTAGGGCCGTCCCCTTCCTCCTGCACGTGCCTCACAGGCGTCCCAGCTGGCTCCTCCCTCGCCCGATCCGCCCAAACCATCGGCCATCCCTTGGCTTAGGCTGCCGAGGGTTGGCGATCGCCCGCCCGCGTGCGGCCCGTGGCTTGCGAGGGCGGTGCGGCCGGTGCGGCGGGCACGCGACTGCTCCAGTGGACAGCAGCGCGAGGGCGACCGCGGAGGAGCGAGGCAGGGGACCAGCATGGTCTGCTCCAAACCGGTCCCCAGACCCCTCGCGGGTGGGGGGGGGTCCACCATGGCTTGTTGTCCAAGCAGCGTCCAGCTGTGGCGACGAGGACGTCCATACACGCCCTCAAAGTGAGTCTTCACCTGTTCTGTCCGCCGCCAGCCTCGGCGGCGCGCCGAGTGGGAAAAGGGAGGGGGCATGCCTTCTCAGAAGGCGGCGGGGCTCATCATAAGCCCTCCAGCCCTCCCCAGGAGCCTTCTGTGGCTTCGAAGAAGGCTAGGACAGCTTCCTCAGCCTCAGTCTTCTGAGATCCGAGCCAAGCCGAGAAGTCTGCGCGGACCTCTGAACGGTTGCAGGGTTCTCCGGGGGTTCTGCTGAGGCCGCCGCTCCTGGACGGAGTCCCACGGAGGCCCGAAAAGGGCCAGCAAGCGTTCGAAGGCGTCGGTCCTCGAAGAGGAGGGGGAGGAGGAGGAGGAGGAGGAGGAGGAGGAGGAGGAGGAGGAGGAGGAGGAGGAGGAGGAGGAGGGTGATGAGAAGAGGACCAGAGGAAAGCAACTATGCGTAAGCGATGCTGCAGTACACCCTCCCGTCCCAAGTCCAGTCCTCACGCGCCCCTGTGGTACAAGTCCTCCTCCTCACTACAAGACGCGTCCCCTTTTATTAAAGACTGGCACAAGTTGGGCCTGCTATTTTGGGGAGGGCCTCACTGTGAAAAGGAACTGCCCTGCATATTTCTGGCGCGTAGCCATGGCGGGAGCACAACAGTTATCATACATTTCATCGAGGTGTCCAGCGATGTCCCCCCTTCGCTGAAGGGCCGCCCTCAATCCGCGTAACCGTTGCGCAAGCTCACCCCTGTGGCCATGATCTTCCGCGCAGCGCTGCGTGTGTTGAAGTTTCGAGTTCTGAAGCTACCGAGTTCTCAGGCGAGAACTGTTTTTTGAAAAAGAGCAGTCCCCCATCCTGCTGAATGCTACATGCGAAAAAAAAACCGAGCGCGCACGGCGCTGAGGAGAATGCCCCATTTTGAAACAGGAGCCGCCCTCCATCCGTGAAGCTGGAGCGACTGTTACGCAAGACAGTGCGCGACTTCAAGGCGATAAGACAATCTCGAGAGCGACCCTCATTCCATTTTGAAAATGATCCTCCTTCCATGTTTACGACGAATGTGCGCTGCGCGAAGGCGAGAGCTACCCTTTGAAAAGGAACCGCTCTTCATCCATGAAGCTGGTGCAAACTGTTACGAAGGATGTGCGCGGCGCTGAGGCGACAGCCACGTTTTGAAAACGGACCGCCCTCCATCCGTGAAGCTCTTGCAACTTTTCCTTTAGAGCGAATCAGCGCGGCGCGAAGGCGAGAGCCGCATTTTGAAAACCACCCCCCTCCATCTGTAAAGCTGTTGCGCACATCAAGGTGCGCAGGATGTTACGAAGGATGTGCGCGGCGCTGAGGCAACAGCCACGTTTTGAAAACGGACCGCCCTCCATCCGTGAAGCTCTTGCAGCTTTTCTTTTAGAGCGAATCAGCGCGGCGCGAAGGCGAGAGCCACATTTTGAAAACCACCCCCCTCCATCCGTAAAGCTGTTGCGCACATCAAGGTGCGCAGGATGTTACGAAGGATGTGCGCGGCGCTGAGGCGACAGCCACGTTTTGAAAACGGACCGCCCTCCATCCGTCAAGCTCTTGCAACTTTTCCTTTAGAACGAATCACTGCGGCGCGAAGGCGAGAGCCACATTTTGAAAACCACCCCCCTCCATCCGTGAAGCTGTTGCGCATATCAAGGTGCGCAGGATGTTACGAAAGATGTGCGCGGCGCTGAGGCGACAGCCACGTTTTGAAAACGGACCGCCCTCCATCCGTGAAGCTCTTGCAACTTTTCCTTTAGAGCGAATCAGCGCGGCGCGAAGGCGAGAGCCACATTTTGAAAACCACCCCCCTCCATCCGTGAAGCTAGGGCACACTTGAAAGATGTATGTGCGCGGCGCTAAGGCGAGAGCCACGATTTTGAAAACGGGCGGCCTTACATCCATGAAGCTCTTACGCCTTTTTTGAATGAATGTCCGCGGCGATAATACGAGAGCCACATTTTGGAAACGACCCCCCTCCATCCGTGAATGTATTGCAGTTTTTGAAGAGGAGTGCGCGCGGCGTTCAGTCGAGAGCCAGATGTTGAAAACCACCCGCCCTCCATCCGCAAATGTGCTGCAACATTTAAGCTTCAGGGTTGGAAATGATGAGGAATTCTCAGGCGAAACGCCCAGCCCGCCCTTTCGACCGGCCTCGGGATGCGACAGACAGGCAGGAGTTATTTATCAAGACGGGGGATGAAAGAGGGGGAGGAGAATGAGGAGGAGGAGGAAGAGGAGGAGGAGGAGGAGGAGGAGGGGGAGGAGGAGGAGGAGGAGGAGGAGGAGGAGGAGGAGGAGGAGAAGGAGGAGGCCCCTTCTGCCTTGACCCGCGGGCGCGCCGCGAACAGGCCAAGGAGCTCCTCGTGGCCGCCAAGTGCGTTTCATACAGAAGCGAGGCGGCCGACGTGGAGACCCGGCGGGCAGCAATCGGGCACGCGGCGCCAGCCCTGGCCCTGGCCCTGGCCCGCCCCAGGGCCCTCTTGTGCGGTGCAGTGCGCCGGCCCGTGCCAGACCGTGCGGTGAGGCCCGTCGGGATTTCGACGTTACCGCGCGGTCTGGCACAGGACCCCCCTCGAGACCCTGGCGATTCAATCTTTTCGAGCCGGGCGTTTTCGCTGAATTTCGGGCCCTGGGGCCCTCACAGATCGGTCTGGTTCGAAGAATGACGCAGAAAGATGGGGTCTGGGGGTCCCGTCGTGATTTTTGGCGATGTTGCATTTTCTGCCAACGCGGGATCTCAGGGGCTCTGCGACCCCCAGCTGGCCCTGGACCGTCCCTGGGCCTTCCGGACCCGTGCAGGAAGTTGGCCCCCAAACGTAGGTATCCAGCCCCCGGAGCCTCCTCAGAGAGCGATCCTCTCTCAGTCTCTCCCGTGCCCCTCAGCGCGCAGTGCCCCTGCACGCCTCCCCGATGCCCAGAGCGCGCAGCGTACAGAGCCGAGTGGCCTCCACATCTCGAGTTGCGAGCGAGGCTGGATAGGGCGTCTGCAGCATTAGGTTTGGCATGTACCTCCACAGGAGGAAGATTCAGAAATAGTCAAAAGTAATCAGGGGACGATGTTTCGACTATGTATGTATATATGTATATATGTGTGTATGTATGTATATATATACACATATGTATTTGTGCATGCATGTATGCATGTGTGTATGCATGCATGTATGCATGTATGCATGTATGCATGTATGCATGCATGTATGTATGCATGTATACATGTATGCATGTATGTATGCATGTATGTATGTATAGACGGAGGCCTTGTGCTCGCCGCGGGGAGGCAAGCGATGGCCATGACCTGACCACGAGATCGCGGGGCTGTGTCTCGAAGAAGAGGAAGAAAAAACGCCATGAACAGAAACTTTTGGCGCTCCGCGCGGGTTTCTCGGACCCGCGCTGGGCCCCCCTGGCGGCGCCTCCGGCGCCGCCCCTGGCGCGCTCCGCGCGCCAGGGAGGGGGGTCCAGCGCAGATCCGAGAAATCCGCGCGGAGCGCCAAAAGTATGTTCATGGCGCTTTTTCCTCTTCGAGTGTCGACGCCGACCATCGCAGAAGCAAGAACGGCGTAAACATACACTTTTCGGAGCTCCGCACGGACCTCTGAAGGTGTATGGTACGGTCATGCAGCCACGGTTCATGCTGGGCGTCGCCGACTCGCGAGGGTGGTCCACGAACTGGCGAGGACCGAGATGGGCGGTGGCCCAGATCGACGCCGACGTTTCCGCGCTCAGCCTTGGCCGTGATCGTCCTTTTCATTCCTCTCCCAGGGACCCCCAGGAGACAGCCCGCGGCATGCATCAGGAGGGAATAAAACACACAGTCACAACTAACCGTCGATTCCCCAGAAAATATGGGGAAATCGTGGAAGTGTGTGGGGGGGGAAGACAATGACCCAGGAAATATAGGACAATATTTTGTGTGTCCCAGGGCCTCTTCAATGCAGTCCGAACGAGGGATGGCCTCCGAGGGCGGAGGCCGTGCAGCATGCTGAGCGGCCCGCGCCAGGTCGGGGCCCGAGTCGTCGGGCTAGGGTCCTGCCGTCCACCAATCCCCAGTTGGGATGCAACTTCTCGAGTGGGAGATCGACTACCGAACTTATCTGCCCCATAACTGGTTTCCTCGTCGAATTTGCGCGAAAACACGCAGACATGTCTGCAGATCTACAGCATTCTACGCAGTTTCCGTCGATTCGACGATCCTTTCAATATTGGGGTAAATCCATTCTGTGGTTGTGGTCCATCTCCTATTCGAACTCCTGGGGGATGACATGCAGCATCGGGCCCGGTATGACCGTGGTCGAAAACCGGCCTACTCCAGTACAGTCCCGTGCAGTTCTGTCAGATCCGGCTTCATCCTGGGCTTCGATTTTAAGATTCATCAGGCCTGGTGGCCCCCAGATCGGGCTCGGTCGTTCTTGGGAAGACCTCCTTGGAGTTGCCTCCTCACCCGCCTCAGGAGGAGGATGGTGGCGATGGCGACGACGACGACTAGGATTGGGAGGAGGAGGAGGAGGAGGAGGAGGCGGAGGAGGAGGAGGAGGAGGAGGGGGAGGAGGAGGAGGAGGAGGAGGAGGAGGAGGAGGAAGAAGAGGAAGAAGAGGAATAATCGTAATAATAGTAATGGTAATAATAAGAACAATATAGTCATAATAATATTAAGAAGCCGGATAATAAGAATACCAATAAAGAGTAATAATAATTATCCCAGTGCGACCCTACCTAGGAGTTGGAACCCCTAGGAAAGCAGCAAGCATTAGTAGTAACAGTAACGCTAAGCTAAAGCTAAGCTAAAGCTAAGCTAAAGCTAAGCCACAGCTAAGCTAAAGCTAAGCTAAAGCTAAGCTAAAGCTAAGCTAAATCTAAGCTAAAGCTAAGCTAAAGCTAAGCTAAAGCTGAGCTAAAGCTGAGCTAGAGCTGAGCTAAAGCTAAGCTACAGCTAAGCTAAAGCTAATCTAAAGCTAAGCTAAAGCTAAGCTAAAGCTAAGCTACAGCTAAGCTAAAGCTAAGCTAAAGCTAAGCTAAAGCTAAGCTAAAGCTAAGCTAAACGCTAAGCGAAAAGCTAAGCGAAACGCTAAGCTAAAGCTAAGCTACAGCTAAGCTAAAGCTAAGCTAAAGCTAAGCTAAAGCTAAGCTAAAGCTAAAGCTACAGCTAAAGCTAAAGCTCCCAGGGGACTGGGGGGAACCGCTCCCAGGGGACTGGGTGAACCGCCCGGGGCGTGTTGCACTGCCCGGCCCCTTTAAGCTAAGAGAGTAAGAACCCTTCTAGGCAGAGCCTAGGTAGGGAATACTTAGAATAATAAGACTAATAATAAGAAAATTACTAATAATAGTAAGAACAATGATAAGAAGAGGAGGAGGAAGAGGATGAGGAGGAGGAGGATGAGGAGGAATAACAATAATCATATTAAGAATAATGATGCTAGCACCAAGCATAATACTTAGAATAATGAGAGTCATAAGAATAATATCAATATTAATAATAGTATAAGTATTAATTATCCCAGTGCGACCCTACCTAGGAGTTGGAACCCCTAGGAAAGCAGCATTCGTAGTACCAGTAAAGCTAAGCTAAAGCTAAGCTAAAGCTCAGCTAAAGCTAAGCTAAAGCTCAGCTAAAGCTAAGCTAAAGCTAAGCTGAAGCTAAGATAACGCTAAGCTAAATCTCAGCTAAAGCTCAGCTAAAGCTAAGCTGAAGCTAAACTCAAGCTAAGCTAAAGCTAAGCCAAAGCTCAGCTAAAACTCAGCTAAAGCTCAACTAAAGCTCAGTCAAAGCTAAGCTAAATATCAGCTAAAACTCAGCTAAAGCTAAGATTACGTGCATGCACACGTGCATGCATATCTTGGTTTTACGTTTGCGTTTGCTTTGCTTTGCTTTGCTTCTGCTTTGCTTTGCGTTGTCTTCGACAATTTTGCTTTGTTTTGTCTTCGTTGATTTTGCTATGCTATGCTATGCCGCGCTATGCTATGCTATGATATGGTATGCTATGCTATGCTGCGCTATGCTTTGCTATGCTAGGCTATGTTATGAGATGCTATGCTGCGCTATGCTATGCTATGCAATGCGATGTTATAATATGCTATGCTATGCTATGATGCGCTGTGCGATGCTAATCTATGCTATGCTATGCTATGCTAAGCTATGCTATGCAATACTGTGCTATTTTATGCTATGCTGTGCTATGCTATGTCATGCTATGCTATGCTACGCTAAGCTAAGCTACATTTGGCTAAGCTAAGCTCAGCTAAGCTAAGCTAAGGTGAGCCAAGCTAAGCTAAGATGAGCTAAGCCGAGCTAAACTAAGCCAAACTATGCTAAGACGAGATAAGCTAAGCCAAGCTAAGGGGGCGCTATGCTAAGCTATGCTAAGCTATGCTAAGCTATGCTATGCAATACTGTGCTATGTTATGCTATGCTGTGCTATGCTATGCCATGCTATGCTATGCTACGCTAAGCTAAGCTACATTAGGCTAAGCTAAGCTAGGCTAAGCTAAGCTAAGCTAAGCTAAGGTAAGCCAAGCTAAGCTAAGCTAAGCTAAGCCAAGCTAAGCTAAGACGAGATAAGCTAAGCCAAGCTAAGGGGGCGCGACTGGGGGAACCGCGGGGCGGGGACTGGGGGAACCGCCCGGGGCGCTTTGCACTGCCCGGCCCCTTTAAGCTAAGAGAGTAAGAACCCTCTAGGCAGAACCTAGGTAGGGAATAATATTAAAAATAATAATCGTAATAAGAAGAAGAGGAGGAGGCGGAGGAGGAGGAGGAGGAGGAGGAGGAGGAGGAGAAGGCACCCTGGTCCTGGGCGGGCTGGGTCCCTCGCGGGGGCGCGGAGATGACCGCGCTTCGCGCTTGGCCGTCTGGGCTGGAGCGCTGCCCCACCCTTTAGGGGGGGGCGGCGCGGGGGAGGGCGGAGGGAAGCTCGCGCCTCGCGCAGCGCGGCGCGCGAGGGCAGGCGGCCTGCTGAAGGTGTCCCGCCGCCCAGCGGGGCCAGGGGTGCGTCTGCGCTCCGATGCTGCGCCCTGGGGCGGTGTGTGGGGGGGGGTGCCAAATGGCCTCGACCTTCTTGTGACCACGGAGGCCTGGGTCGGCAGCCCCCCTCGGATTCACCTCCGGAATATATCGATCTCCACCGTTTCGGAGTCGTGCCACCTCTGGGAAAGTGGTGGATGCGGATATCTGCGCGCCCCTGAGGTCGGTGGCACCGTTCGGGGGGAACAAGCTCAAGGGGGGATGCATCGACCCCCCATCGCCCACTGATCGCCGACAGGGGGCCCGATGGCCCATCCCGTGGAGGAGCGAGTGGATTCGCCCGGGCGAGAGAACGCGCCCTCATCCCCCCTCTCGTTCCCTGTCGTGCCTTCATCCCCCTTCTCGTTCCCCGATGGAGAGCGTGCCTTCATCCCCCCTCTCGTTCCCCCTCTTCATCCCCCTCTCGTTCCCCCCGGGCCAGTCCTCCCCTCCCCCCCTCTTCGTTTCCCCTCGTGGACGCGGACATCTGCACACCCCCCGCGAGGAAGCGAGCGTGCCCTCATATCCACCGCTCCTCGTGGACGCGGATCTCTTCACCCTCCCTCGTGGATATCGGCACCCCCCTCGTGGTTGGCTCGCCCTCGTGGTGGGTTCCCCCTCGTGGGCGCGGATATCTGCGCCCCTCCCCCTCGTGGTTGGTTCCCCCTCGTGGACGCGGATATCTGTCCCCCCTCTTGTGGTTGGTTCCCCCTCGTGGACGCGGATGTCTGCACCCCCCCCCCCGAGGGAGAGACCGTGCCTGCATACCCACCGCTCCTCAGGGGGAGCCGTGGGCGGGGCTCCGGCAGCCGCGGGCGTGGGTCCAGACATGTTCGATGTTTTCTGCTTTTCTCCACCGCGGATGGCATCGCTCGGCCGGGTGCCTTCTTTTTCGGCGGGGGCCATCGAGGAGCATCCTGGATCATCATCGAAGAAGTCGAAGAAGAAACGCGGCATGCACCTAAACTTTTGGCGTTCCGCGCGGATTTCTTGTATCCGCGCTGGGCCCCCCCGCCCCCCAGCGGCGCCTTCGGCGCCGCCCCTGGCGCGCTCCGCGCGCCAGGAAGGGGGTCCAGCGCAGATCCACGGAATTCGCGCGGAGCTCCAAATGTTTATGTTTATGCTGCTTTCTGTTGTCTGTTCTGGGCGCGGACCTTCGAGGACCATCCTGGATCATCAAGCTAGAAAATACACCACAGAAAAACCCCAATCGGTATTAGTGGATGGTTGGTGGAAATTAGTGAGATGGATATTGGAAATTAAAGAGATGGATATTGTGATCGGTTGTCAGATCGATAGTGGAACCGATCGTGAGGACGATTGTAAGGTCGATCGTGAGACCTATAGTGAAGTCGGTTCAATGATATCGAGAGTGAGATCGATCGTGAGATCGCTCGTGCGATCGATAGCGAGATCGATGTGATATCGATAGTGAGATCGATTGCGAGATCGATAGCGATATCGATAGAGAGGTGAGTGATGAGATCGATGGTGAGACCGATCGATAAGAAGATCGCCTAGGGAACCAGGAACCCGGGAACCCCGCCGCCCACCGAAGTCGGCCTGGAAGCCGGAACCTGGGAACCTGGGAACCTGGGAACCTGGAACCAGGAACCCGGGAACCCGGCCGCCCACCGAAATCGGCCCGGAATTTTCGCCAAACCTTTCAATCTCCGCTGGGACCCCTTCAGTGTAAGCACTGATTGGGGAATCAACGCACGAATGGACGTCCGAGCGATGGCAAGAACGCGGACCCCCAGGGATCTCGACTTAAGTCGGGCCTGTCCCTCTCCAGGGGGGATATTCCAAAATAGTCAATAAATAGTCAGGGGACTATTTTCCAGCATTTTTGAGCATTTTGGTTTTGAAATGTTTCGTCCAAAATCTGCCTGTAGGGGGACAGACCCGACTTAGATCTCGACCCCTTTCCTGCGACTGCCTCTTCGTCCTGGGTCGCGTTCGAAGGCTTCCGGGCCTGGCGAGGGCGCCCAGCGGTGGAACATAGCAGAGACCTTCCTCGGCGGCGAGCGAGGGGGGGAAGTGAGAAGGCGAAGGCCTTCTCAGATCAGGAGCGAAAAAAGGACGTACACGTACATGAATCCACGCTGGTTTCGAGAGTACTCATTGCTCGAAAGTTCGTATCACGCGGCCGGTCTCGCAGATCGAGGGGCCGTGTTCATGTACATAGCTGGGCGCGTACGTCCTTTGTGGGCTCCCTATCAGAAGGCGGCGGGACTTCTCAGAAGCCCTCGTGCCTTCCGAGAAGTTGTCTTGTGTTTTTTTTTGGGAGGCTCAGACAGCTTTTCAGAAGGCCGGGGGACTTCCGAGCCTTCGGAGAAGGCCCGCCCCTTCTCGCTTCCCCGCCGCCCTCGCCGCCGACTTCCGGCATGTTTTTGTTTTGCTTCACGACGCGAGGGGGTTTGGGCTGTGGATGTGTCATGGCGGTGCTTCCGAGGAGATGGCGTGGCGGGAGATCGCGGTCTTCCGGGCATTCGGGAGCGTGCATCCGCACCTGCTGCCGCTGCTCTTCGGGGGCGCCGACGGGAGCGGCCTGGTGCTGTTGAGCCCGTACGCGCCGGGGGGTGACCTGTACAAGTTGATGTGCCCTTGTCAGGGGCGACGTTAGGGGGGACGAAGTTCAGAGGAGGAAAAGGTATATACCCATACCTCTGCCCTTCGCCCATTTTCCCCCTATTGGGCCTCCTCGGAGGCCCTCGTTGCCACCGCTGGATTCGCCTCGAAATCCTGGTCAGAACGCGCCCCAGGAGATGTCCGAGGCGTAGCGGTACCGGTACCTTTTGGTTTCCCCGAGGGTTTTGAGGTTCGAGGTTTTAAGTCTTCGATCGTTTTCGTCGGCTCTCGGTGGCTTTCCAGCCTCAGGATGCCCTCCAGCGGCTGCGCCTCGCCGAGAGCGGTCCAGGGGTGCCCAGATCGTTCTGACTGGCCGCCAGAGACCCGAGCCATGACCCGAAAATCAAACTCGGCGGCGTGCCAAGGCAGGAAGGAGTAGGAAGAGGAGGCTCAGAAGGCCTTCTCCGCTGGCCGAGGAGGAGGAGGTGGAGGAGGAGGAGGAGGAGGGAGGAGGAGGGAGGAGGAGGAGGAGGAGGAAGAGGAGGAGGACGAGGCGGACGATGAGGGAGGAGGCGGAGGAGGAGGAGGAAGAGGAGGAGGAGGAGGAGTGATGATGATGCTGATGATGCTGATGACGATGATGATGATGATGATGATGATGATGATGATGATGATGATGATGATGCTGATGCTGCTGATGATGATGATGCTGCCGCTGATGATGATGATGATGCTGATGCTGCTGATGATGCTGCTGCCGCTGATGATGATGACGATGATGATGATGACGACGATGATGATGCTGCTGATGATGATGCTGCTGCTGCTGATGATGATTCTGACGATGATGATGATGATGATGATGATGATGATGATGATGATGCTGATGATGACGATGATGACGATGATTATGATGATGATGCTGATGCTGATGATGATGATGCTGATGATGATGCTGATGATGTTGATGCTGATGACGATGGTGATGATGATGATGATGATGATGATGATGATGATGATGATGGTGATGATGATGATGATGATGATGATGATGATGATGATGATGATGATGATGATGATGATGATGATGATTATGATGATGCTGATGATGCTGCTGATGATGATGACGATGATGATGCTGCTGATGATGATGATGCTGATGATGATGATGATGATGATGATGATGATGATGATGATGATGAGGAGGAGGAGGAGGAGGAGGAGGAGGAGGAGGCTCATAAGGCTTCTCACAGGGCCGCAGGCCTTTCGAGCCTCCTGAGAAGCCCGCCCCGCCTGCCTTCCCCCCTGGGCTCGCCGCCGAGAAGACCGAGGGGAGCTTTTGTCTTTTACGTGCAGGGCTCGCCGTCGGAGTCGCCGCAGACCCAGAGATCCGGCGCTCCGAACAAAAAGTGGAGCGGCTGGTCTTTGGGACAATGCTTGGCCTCCGGCGGCCATCGCCGGGCCTCGGGACCGTCAAGAGACGACGAAGGACGAGAAATCGGCCCCGGGGGAGTGGTCCAGACCTCCAGGGCCCACGCATCGGAAAAATCGGAGCGGCCAGATGTCTGGTGAAGTCGCCGGCCTGCAACGAGGGAGCGCCCGCCCGTGCAGCGGCGGTGGCTGTCGGCTTGGGATTAGCCTTTGCTGCTGCGTACTCTCGCTGGAGACTTGATTGCAACTTACTGAAGAATGGCCTTGCGTTGGAATTTCCTGCAATTTGCCCAAGCGTCGCGCTCCCGACACCCAGGCACCCAGGAGTCGCGCCCGTTGTGGCCCCATGTGCATGCCCTTCGTGGCCCCGCTGTCGCCATTTGTGTCCCCCTCACTGTCCTACGTGGCCCAGTTGCTACCCTCAGTGGCCCCATAGTTGCCGTCTGTGGCCCCGCATTATCTGCACTTCGTGGCCCCCGCTCGTTCGCGCTCTTCGTGGCCCCATACGCATTCCCTTCGTGTCCCCGCTGTCGCCCTTCGTGGCCTACTTCGTGCCCTTTGTGGCCCTGCTGTTGTTCTCTCTCGCTCTCGCTTTCGCTCGTCGTCGTCGTCGCCGTCGTCGTCGTCGTCGCCGTCGTCTTCGACGTCGTCGTCGTCGTCGTCGTCGTCGTCGTCGTCGTCGTCGTCGTCGTCGTGGTCGGTCCCCTGTCCGTCCCTCTTGGGGTCGGGTCGACGGTCTGCGGCCGCCCCGCCGATCAGCGCTGCCGCTGGCCAGGCCGACGGTCCGCGGCCGCCCCGCCGCTTGCCGGGGCCCGGCCTGCAGGGAAGAAAGGTATACCCCCCAAAAGGGGTTCGATCGAAGACGAAGAGGGCGGGTATCGAGGGTTTGGGGAATACGCGTTATTGGACACTCGAGCATATAAGGGCGAACAGTCTTAGACATTATTTGTTGTTGTTGTTGTTGATGATGATGATGATGATGATGATGATGATGATGATGATGTTGATGATGTTTTTGTTGTCGTTTTTGCTGTCTGTTCTTCGTGGACCCCTGAGGTCCCGCCCCCTTCCCCGGGTCAATTTTTTTTGTTGTTCTTCCCTCCCAGGCCGTTTTTCGGCGGCGGCCCTGTGGCCCGGGAGGGGCCCCGCGAGGCCGAAGGTTGCCGAAGCCTCCCGTCGTGAATTCCCACGCCTCGGGGGGGTCCGGCAGAGGATCGAGGATCCAGGGATGCGGAGGATCGAGGGCCGATGGTCTTGGATTCTGGTTGACCCAAAATGGGGTCCAGCGACAAGGGGGTGGTGCAATAGATTTGGTGCAATAGATTTGTGGGGTTGCAATAGATTTGGGGCGTGCAAAACATTCCGGGGCGCAGATGTATTGCTGGATTTTCGCTTGCAATGCATTGCTTGCAACACGATGCAATACAATTCTCCGGCGCAGTGGAGTTGCAAGACAGTCGCCCCAAATCTATTGCACGACCCCTTTTCAGCTGGACCCCCTCCTGGGTCACCAAAAAGAGGATCGAGGCTCCAGGGATCGGAGGTTACCAACTATACACCAACATCGATCTTGGCCAGGCCAATCCTGGGCCCAGGATCGGTGTATATGCCTTCTTGCCCCAGGCAGGAGGGCGTATACACCGATCCTGGGCCCAGGGTGATCCTGGCCGGGATCGGTGTTGGTGTATAGTTGGTGCCCTCCTAATGGATGCGGAGGATCGAGGGTCGATGGTCCTGGACGTCCAGAGGTGGTCCCCGAGAGGGGCCTCTCTGCAGGGGCGGGAGGGCCACGAGGGGGGCCGTCGCCCTCGCCCGGGCACCCCCCACGCCCGCGCGCCGTGCCCCGGGGGCCTGGCGCCCACGTCGGCGGACGCTAAGCTTCTAGGAGTGGGTCTGGGTTTAAGTCGGGCCTGTCCCTCTACAGGCGGAACATTCCAAAACAGTTTGAACAGATATTCTGGGGACGATTTGTCGACCGCTTCTGAGCATCTCTGGAGTATTTTCGGGGTATTTTTCATTTCTCGTCCAGAATCCCCCTGTATGGGGGACAGGCCCGACCTAGGAGTGGGTGGGGTCGGAGGATCGCGCCGCATCGCCGATGCATCGGCGACGCATCGGCGACGCGGCTCGATGTGGGGCCCAATGTGCTCCACGCCGAAGTCGCGGACGTATCGCCGACGTCGCCAGTGCATGGCCGATGCATCGCCGATGCGTCGCCGATGCGTCGGAGATGCGGTGAGATCTGCCGACCCCATCTACTCGGACCCCATCTAGGAGGCCTCTGAAGTTCGAGTTGGGCATGTCTTTCTACAGGAGGACAAAAATTGTCCATGAAAAGTAACGCAATAATTTTGGCACGATCAAGACTATGTGAGTCGTTTTTTTGATTTTGGGTATTCTTTATTGTTCGCCAATATTCCGTTTGTACGATGACATGCCCGACCTAATGCCTGTAGGAGGACATGGCCGAAAGTAGGTATTTTTGTATTCCCAGATCCCAATCTGTTTTTGGCGCCTTCCTACTTCAAGGATCGACTGGCTTCCTTCTTCCCTCCTCTGCAGGGGGCGGGCGGAAGCCCAATCTACTCCAACGCCTTCCTACTTCATGCTTCTATCCACTTCTTCACGACCGGCGAGTACGGAGTAATCGAAGAAGAAAAAGCGCCATAGAACAGAAAATTTTGGCGCTCCGCGCAGATCTCTTGGACCCGCGCTTGGCCCCCCCCTAGGCGGCGCCTCCGGCGCCGCCTCTGGCGCGCTCCGTGCGCCAGGGAGGGGGGATCCGGAGCTGATCCAAGGAATCCGCGCGGAGCGCCATAAGTTTATGTCTATGGCGCTTTTTCTTCTTCTAAGTAAGTCCACGCCAGTGGCCAGTGTCAGGGAAACGTGAGACTCGAGCGCGCCAGAATTCGGGCTTGCCAACGCTTTCTGACGAGCGCGTCCTGGATCGTGACGGTCTGGTGTTCGTGGGGTGCTCGCAGCGGGAGCTCGCGCCAAATTTCAGACTTGGTCTCGTCATTCTCATGATGGCCCCGTCAGGGCAACCCGCGCCCCCCTAAACCCGAGTCTTACGTCTCCCCGACAGTGAGGATACTCCAGATTTCGTAATAAAAAGGGAGGGGGTCTCATTTCGGGGGGGGGTCTCTTCCAGGCTATCTTGGAGGGCCTGGGGGGGTCTGGGGACGATGTTTTGGAGGGTTCTCCCACGAGGGGGGGTCTGAAGTGGCTTGTCTTGGAGGGTCCAGACCCCCTCCCTGTTATTACGACATCTGGAGTAGGGACTGGTTGAACGATTCTCACGACGTGGTATGGCTTAGGGACGCCGGAGGAGGCGGAGTCCGCACGGAGGAAGGCCCGTATACGGAGTGTGCTCGGTCTCCGTTTGGGCGTACCCCCGTGGGGGTGTTCAGCCCCCCCTCGAGGGAGGCCGAGTCTGCACCGAGGAAGTCCGCACGGAGGGCTCGGCCACCGTCTCCGTTGGGGCCACTCCGTCTGGGTCTGCAGTCGGGGCCCCGAAGACGGAACCCTGTTCGTTGGGGCGGGGCTCCGCGCTCCTGAAGTGTTGCGCAGCTTGCCCCAGGTTTTCCTGATGTTTCCGATCGGAAGTCGAAGTTTAACTCATGGAGAAAAGGGGCCTCGTTCCTTATTTTGGGTTCCTTAGGTCAAGCCCCCGACTGCAGTCTCTCCTGCCGGGAGGCTCGGTCCGTACGGAGTGCGTCCATATGGAGTGCTCGGTCTCCGTCTGGGCTCGCTCCGTCTGGACGTCGCCCCCCTCCTGGCCAGGACGCCGGGCCGGCAGAGCGCAGACACACCGCGGGCACCGAGGACGGTGGTGGGCAGCCGCCACGGTGCACGCAGTTTCTCGGAGGAGGTTCAGGTAGCCGTACCGCTGCCCTTCCCTCGTTTTCCCCTTCTTGGGCCTCCTGGGAGGCCGAGGCCCTCGTCGCCACCGCTGGGCTGGCCTCGAAGTTCTGGTCAGAAGCACCCTGGGAGAGGTCTGGGAAGAAGCGGTGTCGGTACATTTGGATCTCCCCGGTTTCTGCAATCGGCGAGTGGGGCTGTCACCACAGGGTTATCTGAATAGCGCTGAAGGCAGACACTGATAGCGCACTTGGGAAAGCAGTTCCCTCGACCACATGCGCTTGTGAAGGGGGCTCCGACCCCCCGCGCCGCCCTCAAGGGGCCCGCCGATCAGCGGATTCGTGCGACCGCGTCCGTCTGCTCGCCGTCGACCCCCCCCCGCAGTTCCGCTCCCCCTTTGTGTTCTCATTCCTCTCCCCGACAGCCTGCAGTGAGTTGAAGTCATCCCGCTCGTTGTCGCCATTCAGAGCTTCATGCGTAAGCCGAGGCAGGCACGCTGGGCAGCTCTTCTTGCTTTCCTACTGATCCGAGTCCGATCTGCTAACGCCATGGTGGCTTAGTTTAGCTGTCCAAAAGAAAGGCCTCCACGTGGCGAGGAAATCGACGTTCGAGGGTCGAGGATCCAGGTTTTGGGATGCTCTTGGTGGACTTGTCAGCCCTCCAGAGACCTCCTGAGGCCTCCCGAGGCCTCCGTACAGAACCTCCGAAGACCACCGCAGAGACGTCGAGGAGACCTCTGGAGATTGTCGGACCCAGGCGTCGCAGAGAAACCGTGCCTTCGGGCGCCCGTTTTCGGGCCCCGGGATTGGCAGAAGCGACCCGGGTCGTGAGCCTCGAGACGGGGGTCAATGCAAACGACGGGGAGCCAGGGCGCTGGATGCCGCAGGACTCTGCAAAGCCAGGGTTGCACCGACCCGGGTTAGCGCCCATGAGCCTGCAGGATCCTGCAGGACTTTGCAGGATCCTGCAAAGCCTGATTGACCTGAGTTTGCACTGACACTGGTCAGTGCGTCCCCGACCCGGATGAGAAGTCGGTCCGCGCGAACGGGTTTTTTGGGAAGCCACGTCGGATGTGACGGGATAAAGGGGTGTTCGAAGATTTACGGCGATTCCTGAAGGTTCTGAGACCCCAGGGCGTTTTGTCTCAGCTGCGCCTCGTCGAGATCCACTGTGGAGCTCGGAATGCCCCAAGACAGCCACCTGCGGCGCGAATCATGGCCCGAACGCCGAGCGGATGGGTGAGACCCTCTCAGATTTCCGATGTGTCTTTTGCTTGTTTCTTAGTTGTTTCAATCCTTGTGCCTAAAGGTACGTGGGCTCGGGGACCTACAAGTGCCTGGAGGAGAAGGACGGCGGCTACCTGACGTCGCAGCTACTGTCTGGGATAGCAGCGCTTCACGGCGATAGGGCAGTGGATGTTGATGTTGATGATGCTGATGATGATGCTGCTGATGATGATGCTGCTGATGATGATGATGACGATGTTGATACAGATGAAGATCGTGACGATGACGATGACTATGACGATGACGATGATGATGCTGATGATGATGCTGACGATGATATTGATGATTCTGAGGATGATGATGACAACGATGCTGCTGATGACGATCATGATGACGATGACGATGATGACGATGATGATGATGATGATGATGATGATGATGGTGATGGTGGCGGTGGTGATGTTTCTGATGATGACGATGCCGATGCCGATGACGACGATGATGCTGATGATGATACTGGTGATGGTGATGATAATGATGATGATGAGGATGATGATGGTGGTCATGATAATCCTGATGATGCCGATGATAACGATGTCGACGATGATGCTGCTGATGATGATGATGGTGATGCATCTTATGATGATGATGGTGCTGCTGACGATGATCGTGATGTTTCTGGTGGTGATGATGACGATTCCGATGCCGAAGCCGATGACGATGATGGTTATGCTGATGATGATGAAGGGATGATGATGATGATGATGATGATGATGATGATGATGATGATGAAGATGAAGATGACGTGCCGATCTTCATAATGATGATCATGATGCTACTGATGATGATACTTATGATGGAGACTTTGATGTGATGCGGATGATGATGCTGATGCTGATGCTGCTGATGATGATGTTGATGATGATGATGATGTCGGTGGTGATGATGCTGATGATGATGAAGATGATGCTGATGATACTGATGATGCCGATGCCAATGCGAATGCCGATGACGATGATGGTGGTGATGATGTTGATGCCGATGCTGGTGCCGATGGCGATGATGACGACGATGATGATAATGATGATGATGCTGCTGCTGCTCATGATGATGTTGACAAAGACGAGACTACTGACGATGATGATGCTGATGATGATGATGCTGATTATCATGAAGATGTCGATGTCGATTACGAGGATTGTGATGCTGATGCTGATGCTGTTGATGACGATGATGAGGAGGTTGATGATGATGACGATGATGATGATCATGGTGCTGCTTATGTAGATGCTGATGCTCATGATGATGTTGACGATGCTAGTGATGTTGACGGATATGATGAACCTGATGATGGTGATGATGCTGATGTTGATGACGCTGACGATGCTGATGATGCTGACAACGATAACGACGATTGGGGTTATGATGGGATGCTGATGCTGGTGATGATGATGATGATGGTGGCGCTGATCATGTTGACGACGATGCTGATGATGATGACGATGCGATGAAGATGAGGATGATGATGATGCTGATGATGCTGATGCTGATGATGATGAGTACGATGATGCTGCTGATGATGCTGATGCTGATGATGCTGATGATGACGATGGCGATGATGATAGTGATGCTTCTGACAATGACGAGGGTGCTGGTAAGGATCATGATGATGACGACGACGGCACTGATGCAGAGTATACTGAGGTTGATGTTTCCGCTAATAATGGTATCGCTGGTCATGATGCCGATGATGCTGAATATGATGCTGATCATGATGATGCTGAGTGTGACGATAATGGCGATGTTGTCGAGGATGAGATCAATACTGATGATGCTGATAATGGTGATGGTGGCAGTGGTGATAATGCTGATGAAGATGATGATGATGATGATGATGATGATGATGATGCCGATGATACCGATGATGACGATAACGATGGTTGTGGAATTGGTTGTAATTGTGACGGTGATGCTGCTGCTGCCTATGATGATGATGCTGACAACGACGAGTCTGATCATATTGATGTTGACTATGCTGATGCTACATGTGACGATGGTGGAGGTGATGACGAGATCGAGAGCAAT